GAAGGGGGGAAGGGAGGAAAGGAGGAAGGAAGAAAGAGAGAAAAGAGAGAGAGGAGGATGGGAGGGAGGAAAGGAACAGTGATGGGGTTCCAGGTTTGGAACTCTGGGTGGCAGTCAGACATTGTCTGCATTTTGGGGGGTTGTAAAGATGAGGTCCCTGCCTGGAGTGGCTCTTGCCCAGGTCTGGTAGCAGAGAGGCAGAGTGCTGTGAAGCAAGGAACACGGATCTGCAGTCACCTGCAGTCACGTTCAGACCGCAGCTTCTCCCAGGACTCAGGTGAATGGGACAGGCTCTGAGTTTCAGTCTTTTCCTTCTGTAAGGTGGGGATAGGACGGAGAGCAGACAGGCTGTGAGGATTAAATAAAATGGCACAGAAGAAGGTGTCTCGCATGCAGCTGGGGCCTGATGGAGGGTCACTAGTAGTGCCCAGCCTCTGAGAGGGGCAGCCAGGCGGCTCCTGAGAGTGAGGAAAACATGCGGAAGAGCCGGGAAGGAACTTTCAACCCAGAAAAGACGCTGTGGCCTTTGCGGGTCTTCATATAATCTGTGAATATGAAGAATGAGTGAATGATGAAGCAAGACCAGGGGCACCGCGGCAGTGCCCCCATCAGCATGGCACCTGCGTGACTCTGTGCACGTGTGTTGGTTTAGTGTCTGTTGTTTCTACGAAAGTATGAGCATCTTGAGATTGTGAGCTGTGCCTGTCGTGTTCCCATCATCTGGCCAGCACCTGGCACACAGTAGGTGCCCACAATTCACATTGATAGTTCCTAGAAAAGGCATGTTGAGGAGGCCAAAATAATAGTCACGGAAATGAGGCCGGGCGTGGTGGCTCATGCCTGTAATCCCAGCACTTTGGGAGGCTGAAGGGGGCGGATTACCTGAAGTTAGGAGTTTGAGACCAGCCTGGCTAACATGGTGAAACCCCATCTCTACTAAAAATACAAAAATTAGCCAGGCATGGTGGTGGGCACCTGTAATCCCAGCTACTCAGAAGGCTGAGGCAGGAGAATTGCTTGAACCCAGGAGGCGGAGGTCGCAGTGAGCTGAGATCACACCATTGCACTCTACGCTGGGTGACACAGTGAGACTCTGTCTCAAAAAATAAAAATAAAAATAAAATCCCTTC